TGTATGTATGTATGCATGTAGGTGTAGGGCATTTGAATGTATAGATCCATCGCATGTGCGTTGCTTTACCTTTCTGAATGCCTTTGCGTGTCACTATACTATACCTTTCATATGTGTGTGTGTGTGCGCGTGCGTGTGTGTGTGTGTGTTCTCATGTGCGTTTGATGCATGCATGCATGCATGCAGTACGGCACGCGGAGTTCATGGACGGTGAGGTGGACAGATGGCATTCATACGTTTGCCCATGAAGAAACTGTGTAAGATGCGGCCAAGGTCAAGCACAGATCTTGTGAAGAGCATGATGGAGGCGGTGCAATGCCTACACTGCTTGTTTGATTCTTCGGTTTAGGCAGCAACAACTTCTGAATGACAATAGAAACCTCGCACGCCGGGTTCCAGCTTCAGTCTAGGCTCTGAAGAGATGGGCGGACATGTGCAGAGATCGTGACTGCGAGGAGCTCGGCTCCATCTTCCGAGAGCGCCTCTCTGTGCCTTCGCCGATTACGGGCTTGTCAGGTCTGTTCGTTGGGGACTTGGTTAGGACGTCTCTGCGGTCCCTGCGGTTGCATTCACGTTTTGTGTTCCGGCATGTTCTGCCGGTAGAGAGCCAGCTTAGTGTCAAGGTGCAGCTGCTAGTGTGATGCTCGAACGGATTACAGCCTTACGCGACGCTGGTGGGATGCCACGGCGATTTCCCTTATCATGGCATCTTGCGAACATGACCATCCTGCTATTCCTGACCTCCCGTTGTCGTCCCAGGCACTGTTGTCAGCCCCGAACGCCGCTGCGGCAATGGCCGCGGCGAAGGCTGCAAAGGCAGCGTGAGACGTGGCACTGTCTCACCAAAATGTCCAATGTGGCAAGTTGCTTTTTCTGCGGTACCGCCGACGGCGCCAAGGCCATGTCATGCCGTGGACTCTGCCAATTTGTCTGACTACTTATGACCGAGCTCGTAAGACAATCGTGCAGAGATGGATAGTCTGCCGAAGTTGAACATGAGCCCACACATAGTCATGCAAGCATGTTTCACGTAGGAATAGTAGGATTTTCATTGCTGCCTGCACCATGTGCTGCAACCAGCTGTTTTGCTGGGCATCAGGCTTCGGCCAGCACAGCAACGTTCTGGGGAAAATGGAATTGGCCGGAAGTGTGATGATCGACTGAAGCGCAATTTGAATGTAGGAGGATTAGCCGAACATGCCGTTCGTGCGCTGCCAACCCATTCAACCACTTGAGAGCAAGCAACCAGCATAGCCTATGGTCACAGACGACCGCATCACCAAATCCAGCATTGCGCCCGTGCATGCCTTCGGCCCAGCTACTTCTCTCCGTGTTGCCGCCGGCAGCCACATCCTACTTGGCAGCCGACGACGCTGCTGCTGTTAGCTCCGTTTGCTGCTGTCTTGCTACTGCGCTCCTGGGCCCTGCGGATGCCCCACTGCCAGTATGGAGGCCCTTCCAGGACAGTCGGCTCACTGGGCCTGCTGGTATGACTCCAGTCATCCGGGAGGCCACAGCACGTTTCCTCGACCGCGAACTTTGCTTGATCGGCTGATCTCTCTACGAACGGTGACCCTCAGAACAGGCGACTAATCCTGCAGTTCACAGTGGAACCCCGGTCTCTATGCATTCGCATGGTAAATGTCCTCGTCCAGTTTAACGATTATGCTCTTGCACTGAAATCAAACGAACCAGTTTTATGGCATTTTTTCCTCTTCCAGCATGCCCACGGTTGGCGCAATCTGGCCCCGAACTCCTTCGGACCCAGAAGGCCCAAATCCCCGATCACAATCGACACCCCAACATTGTCTGGTTCCGTCTGAAGTTTCTGCTCCAGCACACAAACTGCGCTTCTGCATTAGCCTCCCGACGAATGCACATGCAGTCATGCAAGTTGCTGCACGCATGGTTCCCTTGATCAACGACGTGCAGCGCACAATCTTTCAAGTTGCTGCGTGCGGTTCCCTTGACGAACAACGTGTAATGCCCATCATTCAAACAGCTCTGCACGCAATTCCTTTGACGAGGGAAGTGTAACGCACAACTCTGCAAGTTGCAGCGCGTGCGGTGCCCTCGACGATCGATGTGTAATGCCCAATTTTCCAAAATGTGCCTTGATGAACGACGTGTGACGCCCGCTGCGAGCACTGTTTCCGTGACGAACGACACGTCACGCAACGCGCAGTCTTTCAAGCTGTTGCGTGCACGGTTCCTTCTTTTCTTGGCGAACGACGTGTAATGCACAACCTCTCAAATTGCTGTGCGCTCGGGTCGCTTGAGCAAGGACAGGTAAGGCACACACTTCGAAGTTGCTGTGTGCACTCGATTCCCTTTGCACACAACATGTAATGCACAATATTTCAAGTTGCCGCGTGCGCGGTTCCTTTAACGAGCGACGTGTAATGCACGGTCTTTCAATTTGTTGCCCTCGGGGCCCTCGCGGTTCCCTTGACGAAAGAAGAGTTAACGCACAATCTGTCAAAATGGTACGCATGCGAAGTTCCCTTCACGAACGACGTGTAACCTTGGCGCGCAGTTGCTGCGTTTGCGGTTCCTTCACGAAATAAGCGTAATGCACAATCGTTTAACTTGCTGCACACGCACTTCCCTTGGCGAGCGACGTGTGCTGCACAATATTGCAAGTGGCAGCGCATGCGGTTCCCTAGACGAACGACGTGCCATGCACAATCTTTCAAGTTCCTGTGCGCGCGGTTCGTTTGACGAACAACGTGTGATGCCCAATATTTCAAACTGCTGTGCACGCTCTTCCCGTGACGAGTGGCGTGTATATAAAACACTGCGTGAATTCATCACGTGCGAAGACAGCTCCGCCTCAACCCTGCTCAAACTCGTGTGTGGAACAGCGGTGGAGTCCACCCGGATGGTTTGGTGTTCACTCCTTGCTCCATCTTGCTCCTGATAGTGAGATCCGGGTCGGCTACTGCGCCTTCGAATCGACCCGACGCGGCACTGTTGCACTTGGAATATTAACACGTTGGCACATCAGAGTTGATTGCTGCGTACCTTCATTCGCTCGCCAAGCAGAGGGTTCTCCTCAAACGCCTCGCGCCCTTTGCCGACACACGGGTTGCATGTTGATGTTATTGCTGTTGCTGTTGCTGTTGCTGCTGTTGTTGTTGCTGTTGTTGTTGGTTGACCCGTAGACTTGCGTACCCATTATGGGGAACGGCTGGTTTTGATGTGGTGTGCTGCCACTGATGTGCGTCTCGAGTGGGCGCTTGTGGAATCGAGCGTCCAGATGGGGAAAGGCTGGTTGGATGTGGTGTGCTGCCAGTGATGTTCTTCTCGAGTGGGTGCTTGTGGAATCGAATGTCTGGACGGGGAATGGCTGGCTGCGATTGATGTGGGTCTCGGGCGGCTTGTGGAATCCAGCGTCTAGATGGGGAATGGCTGCTTTTGATGTGGTGTGCTGCCACTATCTGCCACTCATGTGCGTCTCCCGTGGGTGCTTGTCGAGCGTTTAGATGGGGAATGGCTGGTTGCGATGTGCCGTGATGCCACTTGTGTTTCGAACGAACGGGTGCTTGTGGAATCGAGTGTCTTCACCGGTGATGACGTACTGTCATGACACCGATGTGTGTCTCGAACGGATGCTTGTCCATTGTGGAGCTAATCACATGGCCCTGTGGAAAATAGGTCCAGCTCATCCAAACTAGTCCCGGTCACACTGTTGGGGGCTGGGTGCACGCAAGCGAACAGACACACATACATAGGCCATACAGGCACAGACACACCTACGTGGGCAATGGCTGGTTTGAGCGTGCTGTGATACCACTGATGTGTGTTCTGTGCATGTGCTGGTGAATCGTGCGTCTACATGGAGAGAAAAACAAGCTTGACCCAACAGTTGGAAAAGTCCCTTGTGCGCTGCGTCAACAGTTGGAAAGTCCCCTTCTTCTCATTCCCCATTCAGATAACCCAAGCTTGCATCTGACAAGTCTGGCGTAGCTCAGTGGTAATTGAGGCCGAGAAGCTTTTCGACAGGCGGGAACTGCAGGAGCTCGAATCCCGTCAACGCCGGCTTGCCCATTTTAGGTGTCCACGGGCAATTGCATGCATACACGGGCGCAGCAAGCTTTTCGCGAGTTGAAAAGTCGTTAGCACGTGCATTTTGAACTTTTGCAGGCAGGGCAACGAAGGCAAAGCAGGTGGGCAGGCAAGCAGGCAGGGAGGCGAAACCCACACCAACCCGCCCAAACTAAACTCACCGAAACCCTCCCAGACGCGCTTGACGTCGTGGCCAACATATCCAACATTCACACGCAAACCCAATTCTACGTGTGGTGTTGCTGCCAAACGATGTGGAAGGAAAATGCTTTGGACCACAGTTTCCATCATCGCAGGGACTTATTGTGGCGTTGGCCGCTTCCTCGCCCTGCTGCAGACGGCGTCAGAGGGTCCCAGGTCACGCAATTCCGGTGGGTGGACCCCGATGGGCATGCCGTCGTCGGACTTGGAGGGCGGTATGGGTTGGCGAAGATCGACGGCATGAGGAGCCTGAACCAAGGCAAAACTTGAAGTTGACTCAGGACCTCACCAACCCTCAGCCCCAGTCGGCAGGCAGAAATAGCGAAAACGACGTCGTTTGTTTTTTTGCCATTCATGGCTGTCGACACCTCCTGAAGTGGTTGCAACACGAAGGTGCCGGTCGACCACGTAAGCATTGCTCTGACCCTCGTACTGGCCTTGTTTGTTCGTAAAGACAGCAATGCTGGAATGGATGTGTGTTGGCTGCTTGTTTGAGCAACACCTTTCTAACATGGTACACCAGAAACTCATGAAAAATTTGGTTACTTCCTGCAGGTGGAATAAAAAAGACCGCGAGTAGCAGCAGCCTGCGAACAGGCCCCAGCCGGCTGGCATAGCTGGGCCACAGCATGTCACAGCTATCCCTAACCCTGAGGACTCCTGACGCGGGTGCAAAAAATTGCAAAAAACGCGCGGGGGGGGGGGAAAAAAAACAAATGCTTGTGTTTGATAAGGCCCTTTGCAAGAAGCAGCTTCATTTTATAAAGAACTCTGGCCCGGCCGTGTGTTTACGGTCGTCCCCACCTCCGACAATGTCCCTATCGGCAGCGCACAGTTCCGGGTTCTGTTGTTTCGTCGGCTGCGTCTCCCCTTGGCGTTCTGCCCCCGCACATGCCGCCGCGGCCAAGGCCTCGATCCTTCGGGGCACCACCTGGATGTTGACCCCGCGGATCGCCGCCGCCTCGACCTTGTCGTGTACGGGGCCACTCCGCTTGGCGAGGCGTTGTGTTGCGACGACGCTCGTGTCGCCTCTGCCACGCGAGGGGCGGCCCCAGCCGTCTGCTGCCTCTCGCGATGGCGCCGCCGTCACTGTCGCAGGGAGGCGCAAGCGCGTTGCCTACCCTGAACTGCTTCGGCCGGGGCCGCAGCGACTGTGTGTCCTCGCCTGATCCCCCTCCCTTACCTAAATGCCTAAGGGGGGTACCTAAGGTCCAGTAGGCAATTGAAATGTGCATTATCGCCTGTCGGCACCAAAACAGCAGAGTAATGCCCAGTCGGACGTGGAAGGTCCCATTGTGCATTTTCTGGGGTGGTGTATCCCGGGCAATGAAAAGCCCATAATGTACTCCGGATAGATCGCGCCGAACAGCGCTAGAAACAACATTTCCCATCCGACCTCCCTTGTCACTTAAGGTCCGGTTTTTCCTAAGAATTGCAAACGCACTGCTTCGAGTTGCCTCGAATGTCTTCCCGAAAACTTGTCCTGTCTTCTGTAGCCTTTGCTAAAACTGCTCCCGATTGGGAACTAAATGCAGGCGGCCTTGGCATGAGCTATT